GCTTTACCCACTACTCCACAGTGCCGGCCCCTTGAACTCCTTTCACACACATGGCACATACATCACAATTCTTATTATACAAAATTGGCTCATGCGATTAGAGGATCTGAGAAGTGCCACCATCCACCATCTGCAAGTTGGAGGCTCAGGAAAGCCAGTGGCGTCGTTCAAAGGCCCAGAGAGCCGGGGGTGCAGGCTACGCCCTGCATCTGAAGGCAGAAGACCCACGTTCCAGCTCAAGCCATCAGGCAGAGTAAACCCACCCTTCCTTCCTCCACCTCCTGTTCTGTTCAGGTCCCAAGCAGATTACATGACGCCACTCGTGTGGGGGGGGGGGGGGTGGGCACCGACTATCCTCAGTCCCCAGTTCATATGCTAATATTAAGAAACAACTTCAGAGATGCACCGGAATACTGTGCAAGCAGCTCTCTGGGCATTCCTTGGCCAACCAAGTAGACCCGAACCACCGCAGCACCCTCTGTCCGAATCTTGAGGATGTTTCGATAGAGGCCATTTACAAAGAGAGGTTGAATGAAGAGAGAGAGACTAACCAAAGTGGGGCTCCGCTGAGATGCTGGGGCCTGAATGAGCACAGAGAAGGACAGGTGTCACCAGAACCAAATAAAAAGGTGGAGCCCTGGAAACGGGCCAGAGGAGCTGCTGTGATTGGAGGGAGCCCCAGCCAGAACCTCAGCACCAAGCGGGGCGAGAGCAGGAGACGTTCCCTCCCCGTCTCCTCTCTGTTCTCTGTTCCTGCTCAGGCCTCCCAGTGTCCGGACCCAGCTGGCAGCCAGAGGGCACTGTGATCTTTAGCAGGCAGCTTCCTGGGCCGCGGAGGACAGAGGAGGACCTATCCTGGCCTGGCCGTACCCTCTTCTTTCCCACAACACAGGCATCCTGGGCATCTTTCACTCCCTCAGATAATTCTCTTACGTCCTTGGCTCATTCCTCCAACCCCAACGTTACCGGGCTCGCATTGTCAGCCTAAGCCTAAATTCCCCAAGGAGGCCTTTGATGGCCCCCAGGCTGGGTAATGGCTCGCTTTCATGTATGCCTAAATCCCCCTCTACGTCTCTGTTACAACACGTACTTACTAGGGAGTAGTGAGCCATGCAAGTATGATGACTGCTTCTGTCTCTAGTATCTGCCACCTCCAGCAAACTGTGCACCAGCGAGGGCTCTGTTTCACTCAGCACTCCACCTGTAGGACTGCCCACACCTGGCACAGGCGCTCTATAAGCGTACGGCGATTGATTAGCTGACAGGTCTGTCTCTCTGGAATGTAAGGGAACTGACCGTGTTCTATTAATTTCCTTTTTTTAAAAAGATTTATTTATTTATTTGAAAGTCAGAGTTACACAGAGAGAGGAGAGGCAGAGAGAGAGAGAGAGAGAGAGAGAGAAAGAGAGGTCTTCCATCCAATGGTTCACTCCCCAATTGGCTGCAAAGGCCAGAGCTGTGCCAATCCGAAGCCAGGAGCCAGGAGCTTCTTCCAGGTCTCCCACGTGGGTGCTGGGTCCCAAACACTTGGGCCATCTTCTACTGCTTTCCCAGGTCATAGCAGAGAGCTGGATCGGAAGTGGAACAGCTGGGACTCGAACCAGTGCCCATATGGGATGCCAGCGCTTCAGGTCAGGGCGTTAACCCACTGTGCCACAGCGCTGGCCCCATGTTCTATTAATTTTTACATCCCCATCTCCAGCTCTGTGCTTAGCACACAACAAGCCCTCCAAAATGCGAGTGGACATATTAATGAATACACAAAGCTAATTCTAGTTAAACCTCCACTGCATTTCCGAGTACTGAGTCTCATTAATTTGATGCCCCCTCCGTGAGAAGTCATCGTTGTGTTTATTTGTCCTAAAGTTGCCCCATCCAGGCATTGGAGGCTGCTCTCCTGCTCCCAGGTTTGGGATTCTCAGACTTGGTAGCCATGTCTGTGTCTACCACCTTCCTTTCTTTCTTACTTTTTTTTTAAGCTGTATTTATTTATTTGAAAGGCAGAGTTACAGAGAGACAGAGGCAGAGAGAGACAGTGGTCTTTCATCTGCTGGTTCACTCCCCAAATGACTGTGAAGGCCAGAGCTGGGCCGATCCAAAGCCAGGAGCCAGGAGCTTCTTCCAGGTCTCCCACGCGGGTGCAGGGGCCCAAGGACTTGGGCCATCTTTTACTGCTTTTCCAGGCCACAGCAGAGAGCTGGATTGGAACTGGAGCAGCCAGAACTAGAACCAGCACCCACATGGGATGCCAGCACTGCAGGCGGTGGCTTTGCCCACTATACCACACTCCTGGCCCCTCTTTCTTCCTTTTTAAGAGTTATTTATTTCCTTGAAAGGCAGTTACAGAAAGGGAGACACACACACACTTCCATCTACTGGTTCACTCCCCATATGGCTGCAATGGCCAGGGCTGGCCCAAGCCAAAGTTGGGAGCCAGGAACTCTATCCAAGTCTCCCTTGTGGGTGCAGGGGTCCAAGCACTTGGGCCATGCTCCACTGCTTTCACAGGCTACTAACACAGAGTTAGATAGGAAGTGGAGCAGCCGGGACTCAAACTGAAACCCATATGGGATGCAGCAGCTTAACCTTCTGCACTGCAGTGCTGGCCCCTCCACAATGTTTCTGCAGCCTTTACTTCTCCCAGCTCACATACCCTTGACTTTCCAGCCCAGGGGGACTTTCTTTATACTTGGCCGGACTTCAGCTTCCAGAATATCTTATTCTTCTCTTCTAGAATTGTTCAAACTCTATCATGTATTATGAACTATCTAAAATCAAAAAATGTCTACAGCACTGTGTTCAGCTTCTAGGTTCTTACACCAGAGAAAGAGCCTTCCCTTTCCTTCAGCCCTTGTCCTAATAGGCAAGAGCATCAGATCTTTGGGGAGTCAGCAGTCTCTTCATCAATAAAACAGCGGTGATATCTACTATACCAATTAAATGTTGATGAATAACAACCCACCCCAAAATGTCATGGCTTAACACAACCATTTTATCTGCTCCTGATTCTACAGGTCAACCATCTAGGCTGGGTTCTGCTGGTGGTTCTTCTGCTGATCTTACCTGGAGTTACATCTCCAGCTGCACTCAGCTGGCAGTGCAGCTGGAGGCTGGCTGGTTTAGGGGAACTCAACTTGCGAAATTAGATCACAATCTGCTCCATTAGGTCTCATCCTCCACAGACTAATCCAGGCTTCCTCATATAATAACAGAGAATTTCCAGCAAGAAGAGAAGGCAAAACCCCCATACACAAGCACTTTTCAAGCCTATGCATTCATCTCATTTCCTATTGATTAAATTAAATCATATGGCCACACTCAGAGTAGATATGGGCTGGACATTTGGCACAGGGCTTAAGTCACCCCTTGGGGATGCCAGTGTAGACATCACAGAATAGCTGAGTTCAAGCCCCTGATTCCAGTTTCCTACTAGTGTGTACTCTGGGAAGCAGAAGATGATGGCTCTAGTAGTTAAGTCCCTGCAACCCACATGGGATACACAGATTAGATTCTGGACTCTGGGCTTCAGCCTGGCCTAGCTCCAGCTGATGTGCTCATTTTGGGAGTAAACCAGTACACAGATGATCTCTCTATATCTCTTTCAAAAAATTAAAATTAAAAAAAAAAAATCTTGGGGGCTGGCTCTGTGGTGCAGCAAGTTAAGCCACTGTCTACAGTGCCAGCATCCCATATGGGTGCCAGTTCAAGTCCTGGCTGCTCCACTTCTGATCCAGCTCCCTGTTAATGTATTTGGGAAGGCAGCCGAAGATGACCCAAGTGTTTGGGCCCCTGTATACACACGGGAGACTCCAGTGGAGTTCCAGGCTCCAGGCTTCAGCTTGGCCCAGCCCTGCCTGTGGCAGCCATTTGGGGAGTGAAACAGTGTATGGAAGATCTGTGTGTGTGTGTGTGTGTGTGTGTGTGTCACTCTGCCTTCCAAATAAATAAATAAATTTTAAGTCCCTTTGGGATGATGTTATAGGTTTAATTGTATTCCCCCAAAAGGACATACTGAAACTCCTTAGAATATGACCTGATTTGGAACTAGGGTTGCTGAACATGTAGTCGGGTAAGTCACCCTGGAGTAGAGTGGGTCTTTATTTAATTTTTTTAAAGATTTATTTATTTGTTTGAAAGTCAGAGTTACACAGAAAGAGGCAGAGAGAATGAAGGGGGGGGGGGTCTTCCATCTGCTGGTTCACTCCCCAACTGGCCACAATGGCTAGAGCTGCGCCGACCCAAAGCCAGGAGCCAGGAGCTTCTTCGGGTCTTTCCATGCAGGTGCAGGGGCCCATCTTCTGCTGCTTTCCCAGACCACAGCAGAGAGCTGGATCAGAAGAGGAGCAGCCAGAACTCGAACCAGCACCCACATGGGATGCCAGCACTGCAGGAGGCGGCTTTACCCACTATGCCACAGCACCGGCCCCAGGGTGGGCCTTTAATCCAGAACACTGGTGTCCTTAGCAGAAGATGGCCACAACAGAGAAATGCACGGGGAGACACCGTTAGAGACAGGCGGCGTGTGAAGTTGTGCTGCCACAGGTCAAGGGGTCCCTGGGGCCACCAGAAGATGAAGAGGAAAGCAAGGCTATCACCATGGAGACGTCAGCATGACCGTGGCCGCCTCAACACAGGCACGTTGAACGTGGAGCTCCAGAATCGCGCGAATGAAAGGCTCCATGGTTTTGAGCCACCAGGCTCGCGACACCTTGCTCCTGAAGCCCTGGGAAGATCAATACAGACGGGAACTACCTTATCCTCCATCAGCTTCCTCAGAAGAGGCGAGAGGTGGGAGAAAACCAAGGCTCTCTGACTGCGAGTCGGGGCCCAGGCCACTGATCACCTATCTGTGGGGCCTGAGCGAGTCACCTCATCTTTCTGGGCCTTGGTTTCCATACCTGTCCAGAAAGAGGACTGCAGACGCACTGTGTTTCCAAAGTATGGTCCGGGTGCACTATGATCAGAGGTATCTGGGATGATTTTATATGTGTAGGTGGGCAAACATTTAAAAATTTTAATGTCTGATATTAATCTTGATTCTCTTAAATGCAAGGCAAGTAAAGCTGGTTTTCCATTTATGTTGGTAATATAAAAGCACACAAGGTTTTGCAAATTTTTTATTTAAGTAAAACTATGAGTAAATAATAGAACAGTTGGCATATGTATATCGCAAAAGCTGTGAAAGTGGTACATGAAAAACCGACATTTGGGGAAACATTGAACTGTATTCTCGAAAGATCCTTCCATCAGAAATACTAGGATTCTGTGGCTCGGTAACGATGCCTCCTAGAATGGAACACAGAGGCAGATAGGAGGCAGTTAATGGAGAGATGAGAGAAGTCTGGGGAGTGCTGCAAGGACTCAGAAGGGGCAGTGAGCCCCTCTCACTCTTGCAAAATGTCCTCTGATTCAGGAGCTGTATGGTCTGTATCCATCATCAAGTCTCACCATCTCACCAGCTGCCTTACCCTGAGACACGGCTCACCCTAAGAAGGCTTCTGCGACTGTCAGACCCAGATCCCGAGACACAAGAAGCAAAGGGTAGTAACTAGCAAGTTGGGAAGCTGGGGAATCTCACAGCTGGCCTTGATGCTAGGCTGTGTTCCGGTGCTCACTCTAGGGTATAATTGGAGTCCCAGTTGACCATAAGTGGCTAGGGCTGGCTGAGGAAAGAGCAAGGAGCATAAACACATGAGTCATAGTCTCACAGAAGCCCCCGGGTGCTGGAAGGAATCCTGGCGGTCATCTGGCCTCTAGTACATCCTGTTGGGAGTCTTCCAGCTCCTACTGAAACAACCCCATTGGCAAGGTAACCCTTCCATTGAAATGGCATGAGAATTAGAAATGTCCTCGTGACGGGCTACAGTCTCCCTCCTGCTAACTTGGATGAGTGGATCTCAGCCGGGAAAGAGCCTAGGCAGTGATCTGTGTGATCTGGCCCGCCTTTGAACAGGGCAGCTCTGTCCATCATATTTTCCATAGGAAAGAAGTGAAAACCTGAGAGCGTAATTGACATCTTCCAGTTCGGTGACTTCCTGGAAGACTGCAATGTTTCCTGCACATCCTGACTGGAGAAAAGCCCTCAGCCTTCCACCCCCAGGGCAGGTGTCTCACCTATGGCGGGCTGGGTTTGTCATCATGCTGACTCCCATCCCTCTAGCCCCCAGGCTGCTTCTCACCACCCTCCACCAACCTGCAGAGAAAACCTAGTTATCAGATTCGCCTGTCTGGTTCTCTATCCATTTTTGGTGCTGACTTGGGTTTGGGATCGTTACTGCTTGGCCCTCGTTCTGCCTCCAGCGTCTTCTCCTAATCAGCTCTTACAGCCAGCAACACAACACTTCACAAGATCCGGCTCCTAACCAAGCAAGTCTTTTCTTCCCTGGACGAAACAGCGCCAACTCCCTCAACTGTTCCCCAGGTATATTGCTTCCAAATCTAAGCAGTGTTATTGGGATCTTCTGGAATGGTCTCACTAGGTACCTGGAACTGAACAGAGAGGCTGGTGTTGGGGCACAGCGGGTTAAGCCACCTCCTGTGACACCAGCAACCCATACTGGAGCCCCGGCTCATGTCCCAGCTGGTCCTCTTCTGACCCAGCTCCCTGCTTATGCTCCTGGGAAAGTGGTAGAAGATGGCTCAAGTGCTTGGGCCCCTTGCCACCCATGTGGGAGACCCGGATGGAATTCCTGGCTCCTGGCTTCAGCCTGGCCCAGCACTGGCCATTGTGGCCACTTGGGGGACGAATCAGTGCATGGAAGATTCTCTCTCCCTCTCTCTCTGTGTATCCCCTTCTCTGTGTGTTTCTCAGTCACTCCGCCTTTCAAATAAATCTTAAAAAAACAACACACTTGTATCCCCCAGCCCAGCTCTGCACCGGGCACGCTCAGTGTGGCATTTTGGGGGGTGGGTGAATACCGCACCCACGTGCTAGCCCTAGATCTTGAAGATTAAGAATGTTTCAAAAATATGTAAGTGGGATGGCAGAACAAGCTCCTTCATAGATTATGATTTACTGACCTTTCTTAATAAGTCGCATTAGGATTGGACCTTACAGGAGGCCATGAAGTCTGAGTAATGATTGATTGTCTTAGTTAATGAAATTGCAAGCAGTTATTTCTCACTCACTTCCATTAGCATGGTGGCCCATCGTGATCCCACACTCTAATTGCTCCACCGTCTCCTGGCCGGGCCAGTCGCCCTGTGAGATTTTATCTGCGACACGACCCAGGGGAGCAGCCACCTGCTGGGGAAGGGAGTCTGGCGAGGAGTCTCCCAGAAGAAAGCTCCAACCCTCTAATGTGAGTTAATTAGGTGCTATGTGAAACAGGCTGGCAGGGCTTGGGTGAAAGGGATTATTACAGACTTCCAATGGTTGGGAAGCGATTGATTAGTGTGGCACCGTATTTGCATGCAAGACAGAAAGTCACGAATGATGCAGAGTGGAGTTTTGCAGGCAGAGGGCCAGAAGGTTCAGGGCCACAGGGTGGGGGTGGGGGGGGAGTGCGGAGGAGGGAGGCACTGCAGGGTTTTCTTTGCATCTTTCCTGCCTTCCACTCCAGGAGCCTGCGTCAGGGGAGCAAAGGGGCACTCGCCTTCCAAACAGGGGCTCCACTTACAGACTGGCTCCCGCTGGGCCACACACTGGTCAGCAGCCTGCCACGTCTGTCCAGTCTTCCTCCCTCGCTGGGTGGACACTAACAGCAGCCTTTAGGTGATGCTCACCTAGGCACAGGTGCCGGGCTGTTTGCAAAATGCTGTACTCATTTTGTCCTTATGACAACACTGGAGGACGGTGCTAAGAGCTGACTTCTTTTACAGTCGAGGAAACTGGGGCACTCAGCAGTCAAGTAGCAAACTAGTTAGTAGCTACTAGTTAGTGGCAGCTGTAGGATTCAAATCCTACTTACCTGGCCCCAACAACCTGCCCTTAGCCACTGTGCCAATCGTGACTGAGCAGAAGTCCCCTCATGGAAGTGGCATGGTTTATCCTTGGCTTAGTTCAGAGCCCAGTTTCTCAAACCCTCTCATTTTCTTCTCCTTCAGAACCCTGGTGCCCTGAGTTTCTGCCTCCTGATTCTCTTAAATGAATCTGGGCTTAGATCCCTCGCTCGCACTAAAGTGTAAATGATTGCCAATCTCTTACAGTGCCAACCTCCCTGAGAAAACGTGGCCAGAGCCAGAATACTTAACAGAAGGGACAGAGCTGCGAGAAAGAAGCTCAGGCAACTTCTCAGGGGTCTGTTGTGGGGTATTTGGAGGCTTCAGGGTCACACCACGAAGACTGGCAGAGACGCAAGTGCACGAGCGCCCGGAGACGCAGCGTCTGGCCTTCCTGGTCGTTGTGGGAGCCAGAGAGCCCTGTGGAGCAGAGCAGCCGTGGCCCTCACCAACTCCACCGTCGGAAACCTGGTGTGCGGTTTATAGCATATTTCACAGCTTTTAAAGCATTTGTTTGATATAAATCTCCAACGACTGGGTCCTTCCGCCAACTCTACGGCCGTCACAGACACGCGGAGGTTTCAATATGGCAGCCCTGCAGCTGGGCTCAAAGGCAGGGGTGGGGCTTGCTGGTGACAGCAATGGCCTTGTGGAGGGCGGGCCCAGGGAACAGAGGCCCCACTGAGTGGATACTCAGCCCAGAGCCCCAGCAGGTGTCACTCCACAGGTGGCCTGCAGAGAAGGAGCTCTGGATGGAGTCGGGGAGCCCAGGGCCGCAGGTGGGGGTCACGAGACGTCTGAGCTTCCGAGACGCCCTCCACATGGGACGCGGGCCCCGCCCGGGCCCTGTGACTCGTGTGTGGCCTTTATGAGCCGTGACCAATGGCTCAAGGCCTGGGCTGGCAGCCGCAAGCCTCCATCCTAGCCAGGAATCCTAATTAAACTGAGGCTCCTGGGTCTCACTTACAAAGAGCTCTCCACCAGACCCTGCTTTTAGGACCCCCACCAGGGCCCTCACATTTTTTTTTAACACCACCAGGGGAGATGTGTGGCTCAGGAGATGTGTGGTGGGCTGCAGAGGGCCGTGGGCCAGTGCCAAGATACCTTCCTGCTGTGCGGCCCCTCTTTCGTGTGTGTTGTGTTTGTCTCTTTCCTCCACAATGAACTGTGTTGGTTTAGGTGTTTAGGGGTCCAGGGAAGCTCAGGGTGGTGGGGTTCTCTCTTGTAGTTTCCTCTAAGGCATCAACAGGGGAGGTTCCTGGTCAGCGGCACCTAACTGAGTAACAGGTGAACCATGAATCACCAGCATTAGTCTCGAGCTCCAGGGTCCATGCTGGGGCATAACAGGTTAAACCACCACCTGGGATGCCAGCTGTGGGGAGCAATCCGGACTAGACTAAGTTACTCGAATTAAGACTTATTCTATGCATCTGCTCTCCCACAATATGGCGCTGGGAGAGAAGTAAACAGCTTCCGCACAGCTGCCTCCAGTTCAACCAATTAACTGTAGGACTTGCTCCTGATTGGAGGAGAGCAGCGTACTCGGCGTGTGGGCAGCCGAGTTGGGATTGGCGGAGGAGGACTATAAAGGAGGAGAGAGACGGCATGCACCAGGAACATCTATGGGGAACATCTAAGGGAACCCGTGCAGCCCCCGAGAGAACCGGCCGGCGGTGTGCCGCTCCCCTGCGGAAGTGGGGAATGCGGCCAGGGGGAACTGCCCTTCCACGGAGGTGGAAGGGATAGTAGCCAACCCGGGAAGAACCAGCAGCAAACCCGGGGAGGGCCGAGCAGACGAAAGAACAGCGCAGGGTCCTGTGTCGTTCCTCCACGAAGAGGGGGAGCGACATAATGGTGCCGTGACTCGGATATGAAGCCTAGGCAGGGTTTAGTGTCGTTCCTCCACGAAGAGGGGGAACGACACCAGCTTCCCGTATGAGCACCAGTTAGAGACCCTGTGGCTCCGCTTCTGATCTGACTTGCTGCTAATGAGCCAGGGACAACAGCAAAAGTGGCCCAAGTACTTGGATCCCAGCTCTGGCCGTCACAGCCATTTAGGGAGTGAACCGGTGGGTGGAAGATCTCTTTCTTTCTCTCTAACTCTGCCTTTCAAATAAATGATTGTTTTTTAGAAAGAAGAAAAAAAATCCAGGCTCCTGAGAGACGGATGAGGAAGGAAGGGCTTTCCAAAGAGCCACGTCTGAGGGGTGGCAGGAGCTGTGCAGGCAGAGCGGAAGTCCAAGAGGCAAGGAAACAGCCTCTCTGTGCCCACTAAGTAAATCACAGGCCGATCTGCACTTGAGGCACCCCAGGCAAAGAGCTGCAACGGCTCGCTCCCCATCCGCACTCACTGTCCAGGTTATCCTGTTCGTTCAGGCCTGATTTCAGCAGCGTACAACGTGGATGTGGTGCTTCGCACCCAGCTCCCTGCTAACGCTGGGAAGCAGCAGAAGATGGCCCGAGTGCTTGGGCTCCTGGACGCACCTGGGGGACCTGGACAGAGTTCCAGGCCCCTGACTTTGGCCTGGCCCAGTCCCAGCCATTGTGGCCATTTGGGGAGTGAACCAAGAGATAGAAGATCTTTCTGTCTCTCCCTCTCTCTGCTATTCTGCTTTCCAAATAAGTAAATAAATCTTTAAAAAATATATATATATGGGTGTGGCTGACGGTGGGGGGGTGAGGAGGAGGGGGACAAAAGATCCCCGCAAATCTGGCTAAGTTACGTCTACAGGGTGTCACTGTAGCCGCTCTGCCCCCATGCCCCACCTGTGCTCGTCACAGCCTCCCTCTTCCCAAGCCAGCCAGGCCCGGGTCCCCGTTTCAGGCTGTCTCCGAGTCCTGTTCACTGGTGGACAAAGCACTCAGTGGAAAAGCTGGCATGCGAGCGGAGGCCCCAGGAGACCTGGCACTGCCTTCTGGAAACAGCTCCCTGCTCCTGTGGGAACGCACCAGCTAAGGCCTGGGCCCTGAAGCCTCTGCAGCGAGTCCAGAAGACACCCACACACCCAAACCGCCGGGAACGTGGCTTGCTGACCTTGGCAGGAAGGAGGGCTGAGTCGGCCTTTTGCGTAATACAAATACTCAGCGCAGCTGCCTGTGACCTGCCCACTCCCTGTCCGCTCCAAGACGGAAGGGACCTGCCAGCCAAACCCTCTCTCCTGGCGGACGCCAGACCCCAAGGAACTCGGGCTCTGCTCACGGTAGGAAGTCGGGGCTGTCCGCTCCCCAGAACTGGCTGCAGATGGAAGGAAGCCCCAGCGGGACGGCCAGCCAGAAAACCCACAGAGCCGCCTGCTCCGCCTGGGGGAAAAAAAGTCTGCTTTGACACACAGGCTTGGGGAGCTACAAACTCTGGGAAGGAGCGTCTGGGTCTCCCTGCCATGGCTGATCTAGGGAGAGGAGGAGACAGGAAATGACAAGCAGGTTGGCTCAGCCAAAGAGGTCCTCTACCCCACCCTCAGCGCAGCTGACGGAGCCCCCACCACCTGCCCAACCCCTGCCCTGGGGGGTTCCCAATCTGGTCCTTTGTTTATGATGTGCTGTCACCACCCCAGCCCTAGTCACTGGTCACCAGGTCCCCCTTCCTCCCCTCTGCTGGCCTGGGCCCCACACATCCTTCCAGATCTGCCTTGATTTCTCCCACTTGCTCCGATGTCTCTCTTCCGGGGACACTTGTCACCCTGGAGTCAGTCTCGCACACAAGATTAGCACTCACTTTTCTCTCCAGCAGTTGGGTGAACATTAGTTCAGTGTTCCCAGCCACTGTCACCACTGAGAAAGCTCAGCCCGACTGTGGTGGGCTTGGAAGGCACAGGCTGACAATGGACCCCCGGGGAAAATGGCAAGTCTTTCCTACAGACAAGGATTGCCCACGGTGCCCACACTCCAGGTCAAATGAGAGGAGCGCCTTGGGGCCTGAAATTTATTTATATGTTTATTTAAATGCAGAGTTACAGAGAGAGAGAGAGAGGAGAGAGAGAAAGAGAGAGAGATCAAAATTCCATTTGCTGGTTCACTCCCCAAATGGCCACCACAGCTTGGTCTGAGCCAGGCCAAAGCCAGGACCCTGGAACTCCATCTGGGTCTCCCACATGCATAACAGGGGGCCAAGCATTCAGGCCATCTTCTGTTGCCTTCCCAGGTGCATTAGAAGGGGGCTAGACTGGAAGTGGAGCAGAAGGGACTTGAACTGGTACCCATATGGGAAGCCAGCCTTGTGGGTGGCGGCTTAACCCTCTGCATCACAGCACCTGGCCCCTTGGTCCTGAAATGGAGAGGCCCCAGTAGGAATGAGAGCCGAGCTGACTGATGTCTGCTTTTTGCATGGAGCCTGGTTTGGGGGAGTTAAGGTCATAAGACTGGGGTCTGATCCAGTAGGATTTCTGTCTCTCTCTGTCTCTGTCTCTGTCTCTCTGTCTCTGTCTCTCTCAGCACATACACAGAGAAAACATGCCGTCTGCAATCCAGAATCCAAGCCAAACCTGGCTGGACTTTGATTGTACTTTACAGCACCAGAACTGTGAGAAAATAATTCTGTCATTGAAGGCACCCAGTCTGTGGCTTTGTCAATGAAACACCTACATTTTCTCCACTTTCTGATCCAACCAGTACTCACTGAGCCCTTTCTCCATGCCAGGAGCCCTTGAGTGCTGAGGATGGAGCTGTGAGCAAACGGATAAAGGCCCTCTCCTCAAGGAGCTTACAGTCTAAAGTGGGAGGAAAGAGCAAAACAATCTATTAGCAAAATAGCAAATAGCGCCCCAAATGGTGGTAAGTGCAAAGAGAAGAGAAGAATAAAGAAGGAAGAGGAGAGGGCTAAGGCGGGGCTTGTCCAAAAAACCTCACTAAGAGACAGTTAAGCAAAGACCAGAAGGAGCTGAGCATCAATATCTGAAATTCATAGAAACTCTGTCACGGGGCCAGTCCAGCGCTGTGGAGCAGCTGTAAAGCCGCTGCCTGCAGCACCAGTATTCCATGTGGGTGCGGGTTCAAGTCCCAGCTGCTCCACTTCCGATCCAGCTCCCTGCTAATGCACCTGGGAAGGCTGCAGAAGATGGCCCAAGTGCTTGGGCCCCTGCACCCACGTAGGAGACCCCGATGAAGCTCTTGGCTCCTGGCTTCAGCCTGGCCCAGCCCTGGACCCCTGGATGTTATTGCCATTTGGGGAGTGAACTGGTGGATGGAAAATTAGATTTCTCTCTCTCTCTCTCTCTCTCTCTCTCTCTCTCTCTAACACTGTCTTTCAAATAAATAAATCAATCATTCTTTAAAAATATGGAAAAAATGGGGCCAGTGCTGTGGCATAGTGGGTAAAGCCGCTACCTGCAGTGTTGCCATCCCAAATGGATGCAGGTTCGAGTCCCGGCTGCTCCACTTCTGATCCAGCTCTCTACTATGGCCTGGGGAAGCAGTAGAAGATGGCCCAAGTCCTTGGGCCCTTGCACATGCATTGTAGACCCAGAAGAAGCTCCTGGCTCCTGGCTTTGGATCAGCACAGCTCCAGCCGTTGCAGCCACTTGGGGAGTGAACCAGCGGATGAAGACCTCTCTCTCTCTCTCTCTCTCTCTCTCTCTGCTTCCACCTCTCTGTAACTTTGCCTTTCAAATAAATGCATAACTTTAAAAATCAGGGGAAAAGGCTCTAGGTACTTCTGATACTAATCCCAGCCCCTCCCAGTCAGCTGCCCGGTGACTGACTTTTAGGCAGCTGTCCTCACCCTGTTCCCCGCTTGCTGTATTGTCGGGGCCACGGGAGCACTTGAGGTCTGAGTCACACAGTTCAGGACTTAACTGTAATGGCCTCAGAGCCGACTGATACATCAGCTAGGCTGGAAGCTCCCTGGGGACAGATTTCGCTGCTTCTTCCATAATAGCTGAGCGAGACCTGTGCCAACACTTCCATCCTGGGCTGACCCAGGCCAGGGACAGCCAGGACTGCTCCTGCGTCCTGGTCCACACGTAGGCTTGCCGTCACATGTGGTGTTTTTCTTTTTTTTTTTTTTTAATGTTTTATTTATTTATTTGAAAGGCAGAGCTACAGAGAGAAGTTGAGAGTGAGAGAGAGAGAGAGAATCTTCTATCAGCTGGTTCACTCCTCAGATGGCCACAACCACCTGGAATTCCATTTGGGTCTCACATGATGCAGGGGCCCAATGACTTGGGCCATCTTCTGCTGCTTTTCCAGGCACATTAGCAGGGAGCTGGATTGGAAGTGGAGCAGCCAGGACTCAAACCTGTGTCCATATGGGATGCCGACACTGCAGGTGGCGGCTTTACCCGCTATGCCACAACACTGGCCCCAGCAGTGTTTTTCAAACTGGAGCCACTGTTTGAAAATGGGACAGAAGGGGCTGGGAGCTCCAGGGGGAGCCAGGCCGAGAAGAAGGTCTGAGCGTGGCCCCTCTGTGGCACCTGTGAGAACACTGCTCAGTTACTCTCCTCATGGTCACAGACAGGAGTGCAATTTCTTGGACTTGGTCCTCTTAGAAGTGCCCAGGGTCTTACCACTCCAGGCAGGATACAGAGCTGGACTGGTTCCGAGCCCTCTCTGTAGCCCTCTCCTCCCCAGCCCTCCACCCCCGGCACCAGCACCCACTGCCTCTCTTGTCCCAGGGGAATTTGCACTGAGAAAAGATGAAAGCTTAGCCCGCCCACACGTCATTTCAGGAAGGGGAGGGGGAATCCGAGGGGGCAGAGGGATCGCTCTGGAGCAAACCCTTAAGCTAGACAGGTCAGCTGTGCTGCCTGTTGACCCCTCCTGCAGGCCTGGCCCGTGGCCCCACTGAGGGAGCAGTGCTGGCTGCTCTACCCAGGGCTGGCCTGCAAGTGGACCAGAGCTGGGCACCTGGCCACAGGCTGGCTGGCATCTCTGGAGGTAGCCTGGAATGAGGACGCCTGCTCATCACACTGGATCCCTCTAGGCTCAGTGTGGACCAAAAGACATCAAGGTGGCCCAAGTGGGAGACCCAGAAGAAGCTCCTGGTTCCTGACTTCAGCCATGTCCAACGCTGGCCATTGCGGCCATCTGAGGAGTGAACCAGCAGATGGAAGAGCTCCCTTAATCATTGTCTCTCCCTCTCTGTGTAAATAAATAAATAAATAAATCTTTTTTAAGAGAGAGCAAGTGAAAGATCGGGCAGCCAGTCAGAAAGGAGACACGGGGCTGGCGCTGTGGTGCAGCTGCCGCCTGTCGTGCTGGCATCCCCATCCCATATGGGCGCTGGTTCCAGTCCCGGCTGCTCCACTTCTGATCCAGCTCTCTGCTATGGCCTGGGGAAGCAGTGGAAGATGGTCCAAGTCCTTGAGCTCCTGTACCCATGTGGGAAGATCCGGAGGAAGCTCCTGGCTCCTGGCCTCAGATCGGTGCAGCTCCAGCTGTTATGGCCAATTGGGAAGTAAACCAGCACATGGAAGACCTCTCTCTCTCTGCCTCTCCTTCTCTCTGTGTGTAACTCTTTCAAATAAATAAATCTTTTGAAAGAGAAAGAAAGAAAGAAAGAAAGAAAGAAAGAAAGAAAGAAAGAAAGAAAGAAAGAAAGAAAGAAAGAAAGAAAGAAAGAAAGAAAGAGAAAAGAAAAGAAAGAGAAAAGAAAAGAAAGAGAAAAGAAAGAGAAAAGAAAGAAAGGGAGAAAGAAAGGGAGAGGGAGGGAGGGAGGGAGGGAGGAGAGAGAGAGAGAGAGAGAGAGAGAGAAAGAGAAAGAGACAGAGAAAGAGAAAGAGAAAGAGAAAGAGAAAGAGAAAGAGAAAAAGAGAAATGAGACACACGCTGTGACAGGGATACCTCACATCCCAAGAGAGCGTAGGGCCAGAAGCCAGTTCCTAGAAGTGTATTGGCAATAAGCAGACCCCTGGTCCTGGTCCTAAAGTCCCACAAGCCCCTGTTGTCCAGGTGTCCTGGGAATGCACTCTGTCTCCACGAATGACAGAGCCTCCAGATGTGGAAGGGGGGACAGATGTGAGGCCTCACCACCTCAAAGCAGCAAGGCTAAGCTGCCATCTATAGTGCCAGCATCCCCGATGGGCACCAGTTCAAGTCCCAGCTGCTCCACTTCCGATCCAGCTCCCTGCTAATGCGCCTGGGAAAGCAGCGGAAGATGGCCCAAGTGCTTGGGCCCCTGCACCCACATGGGAGACCCCGAAGAAGCTCTTGGTTTCGGTCTGGCCCGGCCCCAGCTGTCACAATCATTTGGGGAGTGAACCAGAAGGTGGAAGCTCTCTCTGTTTCTCTCGTTTTCTCCTCTGTAACTCTGCCTTTTGCACAAGTAAATAAATCTTTGAGGGAGGGAAAAAAAAAAAAAAAAAAGGAAGAAGCAGCCAACTTCCAAAACCCCAGGACTCCAGGGCTATGTTTCCAGACTCTTCTGCATGACCTGGGCAGCAGAGCTCTTTGAGGGCCATCAAACCACAAGCCCTGCTCTGTGGAAAACGGGCAGCCCCTGAGAGAGGGGCAGGGAGGGCACGGGTGGGAAGGCGGGATTCTGCGGAGAACTGCCTTCCACCTCGCCAGGCCCAAGCGAGGCCCGGGCTGACTCCCCTCACTTCCCACCCACCTCAGGCCTCACCCTGGAGTGTGACCCTTTTTTTTTTTTTTTTTTTAAGATTTATTTATTTACTTATTTGAAAAGCAGAGTTACATAGAGGCAGAGAGAGAGTCTTCCATCTGCTGCTTCACCCTCCAAATTGCCACAAGGGCCGGAGCTGCACCAGTCCAAAGCCAGGAGCCAGGAACTTCTTCTGGGTCTCCCATGTGAGTGCAGGGGCCCAAGCACTTGGGCCATCTTCCACTGCTTTCCCAGGCCATAGCAGAGAGCTGGATTGGAAGTGGAGCAGCCGGGACTCGAACTGGCACCCATATGGGATGCCGGCACTGCAGGCGGTGGCTTTACCTGCTACATCACAGCGCAGGCCCTGACCCTTTCTCTTGCAGTTCTCTCTAGATGCTTACAAAAGTGAGACTTCCCCCACTTTAAAAGAGAAAAAAAATCGATTCAGATAACGAAACACCACAATGTTGCCCATTCCACTCTGTTGTCCCCCAGGGGCTGTCCCAGGCCCAGTCTTCTCTGGAGGCCAGATGGGCTTCTTTCTGGGGCAACATAGATCTTGGAAACTGGCACTCCTAGAAGAGGAAGCAGAGCCTTAACAATACGGCTTCAAGTCTTTTCATCTCAATACTTTCAGCTTTGCCTTATCCTTTTCCAGTGCTGCCTAGGAGTCCACCGTGTAGCTGTTCCCTTCTTTGCATTAACTAGGCTATGGCCATTTGATGGGTAATTGTAGTTTTTGCACACACAAAAATGAACACAATCCTCCACTTCTCTCTGTATCCCTCCACCTTGGCAATACGATTTGAGTTCTCGTTGACAGGTGGAGTCTTATGCCTCTCACATCTGGGCTTGCCCTGGGGTTTGCTCTGGCCAATTGAAAGCAGCAGAAATGATTCTGTTCTGGTTCCAAGGCCAGGACTCAAGAGGTCACGCACATTTCAACTTGACCTTTTGGAACCCTTGTTATCTCATGTGCACAAGTCCCAGTTAGCCCGCTGGGTGGTGAGCGTTACATGACAGTCGTCCTTGTCACCCCAGTCAACCCCAGAGGCCAGGGCTCCAAGCTGACCTGCAGCTGACCACAGCTGCTCAAGGAGGCCCCGCTGGCTGGGAGGAACCCTTGAGCCGCAGACCACACGACAATAAATGGTGATCTAAAGT